CTCGGCCCCGCAGGCTTCTCCCTGCACCCGCCCAGTCCTGCCCGGTGCCCAGATCTAGGCTTTCGCACCCGCGTCCCCCACACACAGCTGAGGCAAGTGAGCACCCAGGGAGCAGAGGTCAGAGGCCTTGGGGTGCTCCAGCCCCCATTCGGCTTCTTCCGGGCAGGGCCCCCAGGCCAGATGGCCTTCCAGCACCCGCACCCCTCGGCCTGCCTTCACACTGTCTGAGCTTGGGGCCGGGGGGCTCACTGGTCAGATCCCCCACCCTTCGGCAACCTGTGCAGGGTTGGGAGGGACTGAGGGCTGGTGAGGGGAGCCAAGGGCCCAGGACCTAGTGTGGATACTTCCTGCTGCCTTCAGGGCCAGGGGGCCTGTTTCTCAGCCTGCCTGTGCCCTGGTCACCTGCAGGGCCACCGTCATCTCCCTCAGGGCGAGCGAGGCCTTTCCCTGCACACACGCTCACACATACACGCTCACATACACACATGTATGCACATACACACCCACGTATGTCACTCATGCACACACACGGATGTCACTCATGCATACATACACACATGCACACATACACATATGCATGCACATACATGCATACATACTTTCACACATGTTCACACTCTTATATAACTCATGCACACACGTGCATACATAAACATATACACATGCACTCGCACACTCTGACATACATGGGTGCACACACAAGCACATACAACACACACAGACATACACCCCTCATACACAAATACACTCGCACACACAAACATGCATGCACTCAAACACACGTTCACACATGCACACGCACACACACAAGCGTGCACCCACATCCCCTCACGGCGCCTCCTCCCGGCCCTCTTTCCCCAGCCTCCCCAGCCTTTGCTTTCAAAACAGGTTTTGAACTTGCGGTCGGGACTTCAGGTTGAAGACCAGGCCTGGCAGCGGGCCAGCTGGTGGTCAGAGTGGATGGGCCCACCCTGTCCCAGGCCCTGGGAATCGAGTGTCCGGACTCTGGCCCAAAGCAAGCACGCGCCTCAGAACTAGAGGCGGCAGCTGACTGCCCAGTCACCTGGAGGCTCCTCCGGGTGTGGCTGCCGGGCAGGCAGGAAGCGTTGGCGCCAGCCGCACCTGCTCGCTGGGGGCTGCCCCTGCCTGCTCAGTGGCGCCTCTGCCCCTCACGTGTGCGTGTGCCCACCACCGATCCCTCTTTACCCTGGCGGGGGGCTGTGGGACGCCGGGAGCTTGGCTCTGGGGCCGTGGGCGTCTACCCTGGGAGTCTGGGCCCCGGGCCGGGGTTTGCTCTGCCAGGTGGGGAGTGCGGCAGGGCGTGACCCCTCTGCTGATATCGTCCAGGGGACCCCAGAGTGGGCAGGCAGCAGCAGCATTGGCCCCTGATGGCCACGGGGCCAGTGGGACTGACCGTGGCTGATCTGGGCTGCAGGACGTCTTGGTTCTCCCCGGGCCCCTCTCGGCAGCGCCACGGAGACTTGGCAATGGGGACAGGCGTCAGGAAGACAGCCCCTGGACACGGGCTCTGGAACAGGGGCACAGCCCTGGTGGGGAGTGGGCACGGGCAGCCCCCGGAGACGGCCCTGAGGGTGTGCGGCTGCCATCTGGGAAGATGGACAGGGGTGCGGGGGTGGGAGAGGTGGGGTGGGACCTGGGGACGGTCCCGGCAGCCACACAGTGGGACTCCGAACTCCAGGCCCCCATTCCTGCTGTGTTTCAGGTCTGGGGTCCCGTCATCTCAGGACCAGCTGAGGGTGGGACATGGGGCTTTGCTCACCCCACCCGCCGCTTGGGTGAGGGAGGGCATGAGGCTGGGGCCCTTGGGGAGCTCCTGGTGGGGCCCCGTGCGTGGGGAGTAGACCCTTGGGAGGAGAACCGGGAGAGGCCGTGTGGGAAGCCCTCTCCCTCCTCCCCAGAGGGTCTGAGGCCCTGAGGCCCTGGCGCGCTGCCTGGAGGGGGCGGCACACTTGTTTTGGTGATGGGCCCTTCCCCTTTGTCTGCTGTTCGGAGCCCAGGGAAGGGGCCTGTGGCTATTTATAGCTGCCCGCCCTGGCAGCCTGCTCCCTCCATGGCAGCCGCTCATGCTGATGAGGCCCCGGCCTCCGTGGGAGCCGCTCCCAGGCTGGGGCTCGGTGTTCTCAGGGTGAGACCCCCGGGTCTGCGCACTGCCCCCCTTCCTCCAGACGCCGGGCAGACAGCAGGACAGGGCCGGTCCCCCAAGGTGGCATCGGAGAGGCCCAGTTCTTACTGTGGAGCTTGGGGGCTGTGCCCTGAGCCAAGTCAGGCCCTGGGGGTGACCTCAGGAGGGTCTCCAGCTCTGGCACAGGCCCTGGGGCTTCCCCATGGGCTGATCTGGCACATCCCAGCGGGAAATGGGGCTCACCTCATGGGTGCAGTGTCCTGCTTGAGAACTTCGGGGGCTCGGCTGAGCCCTCCATACGTGAGAATTCCCTAGAAGGGAGGGTTTGTTACGCTCCTCAGGGGAAAATGTGGAGGCTGGGGGGCACACAGTCTCAGGGAGCGAGTGTTCCCTGAGGACGCAATCTCAGGAAGAGAGTGCTCCCCGAGGACACGGCCTCAGGGAGAGAGTGCTCCCTGAGGACATGGTCTCAGGGACCTAGTACTCCCCCAGGAAAGTCTCAGGGAATGAGTGCTCCAGGAGGATACAGTCTCAGGGAGTGAGTGCTCCCCAAGGACACAGTCTCAGGGAGCAAGTGCTCCCCAAAGACACACAGTCTTAGGAAGAGAGTGCTCCCCGAGGACACGGCCTCAGGGAGAGAGTGCTTCCTGAGGACACGGTCTCAGGGAGCCAGTGCTCCCCCAGGACACAGTCTCAGGGAGTGAGTGCTCCCCGAGGACATGGTCTCAAGGAGCTAGTGCTCCCCCAGGACACAGTCTGAGGGAGTGAGTGCTCCTCACCGTCTCTTTGCCAGTGTGCTGGCAGCGTGCTCTTCTTATTCAGGCTTCACTGCAGGGGTTTGGCTCCCAGAGAGCTCTTCCCAGGAGGCCCAGCCTGCCTGCTCCCAGGCTCTGAAGTGAGTGCTCCCACCTGATGTCCCTGGACAGCCGGCCCCGCCCGCTGGTAGTCTGCCCCCACTTGCGCTTCTTGTTCAGGCATCACTGGTGGAACTCGCACCCTGTGGGGGCAGTGTCCTCGTCTCCCTGGTGTCGGTGGGGACTGGCCAGTCATGTGATTGACTTCCTGTGTGGGAGTGAGGCTATTGGCTGAAGTGGCCGTGGGATTCCAGGGCCCTCAGGGCCACACCTGCAGGACGGGCCCTGCACAGTGGACTCCGAGCCTGTCTCCTTGCTCCCCTACTCCGTGTGCTTGTCCGCCGGGGGTCTGAGCAGCTGGCCCCCCGCTCTGGACTGCCCCCCCAGCCCCCAGTCAGCAGGGGACACTTTGGGGACAGCGTCTGTTTGGGGCACATCCTCCCAAAGACTCTGGTCCTCACAGCGAGAACCTTCCACGGGGCGGGAGCTCCAGGGGGCTCAGCCGAGCAGGAAGGGGAGAAAGAAGCTGATGAAGGGGAGAGGCGGCAGGGCCCTGCCCTGCTCCTTCCTCCGCACCCCTGTCGGCTTCGGGACCTTGCAGAGCAGAGGTTCCCACACTCGGGCCAGCCACCCTATTTCCAGAGAAAACCCACCCCAGGCCCCTGGAGATGGGCCTTGGGCAGAGGAAGCATCACTCAGTCGAACCCGGGGCTACTGCTGGCCAGAGTCCTGGTTCTCCCCTGGGTGAAGCACAAAGCAGGGCCACTGGCCCGCATCCCGGTGCCCTGGCGTGTCCACTCTGTGGCTGAGTCTCAGAGCCTGTCCATCAAGCCCCAGCCGCACACAGGGCAGCGAATCGCGGCCATTGAGCACTGAAGGTGGAGTCTGGCTGCGGGAGGAGGCGCTTGTGCCTATGTACTAGGAGGTGCCTTCCCCCCCCCCCCCCCAGGCCCCAGGGAGCAGGCAGGGCCCTGGGGCGGCCTGAGGGCTTGCAGCCCCAGAGGGGTTTCTGGGCCAGGTCTGGGGGCATTGTATTAGAGCCCTGAATCTGCACAAGTAGAGTGGACTTGGAGCATCACCAGCCTCCGTGTGGGCCTGTGTCCACACTCAAGTCGCCTGGAGTGCCAGGGACTGGGCAACACTCCGTGTGCTGTGGCCAGAGTCCTGAGGACACGCCCGTGCACACTTCCCAGGGCCATGCCCTGCTCCTTCCTGCCGCTCCCCACTGCTCTGCAAGCTGACCGCTGAAAACACTAGAACATTCTAGTACATGTGTACACATGTGCACACATGCACACAAACACACATATACACACATACAATCATGCACACATTCACACATTCATACATATACACACATTCACGGGCTGGAGCCATAGCACAGCGGGTAGGGCGTTTGCCTTGCATGTGACCGACCCAGGTTCGATTCCTCCATCCCTCTTGGAGAGCCCAGCAAGCTACCAAGAGTATCCCACCCGCATGGCAGAGCCTGGCAAGCTACCCGTGACGTATTCGATATGCCAAAAACAGTAACAACAAGTCTCACAATGGAGACATTACTGGTGCCCACTCAAGCAAATCGATGAACAATGGGATGACAGCGACAGAGACAGTGACAGTGACACACATTCACACACATACGCACACATATATCAACACCCACACATATACAGACAGATACACATGCATGAATACATACACATGCACACACATACACGCTCATATATTCCCACACTCATGTACTCACACACACGCACACACACACAGACACACACACATGCGTATGCACATGCACACACACCATCTCGTAGTCCCTCATGAGAGCCTGTGGTGGTCGTGAGGTGCCCACTTGCAGGAACGATGTCCCCTGAGCCCAGGCCCCCCACCGCTTAGAGCAACACTCCGTCCATCCGGGGAGGGTGGGGAGCTTGGGGAACCCCTGGGAACGGCTCCTGCGGGGTCTTGACACTGCCCCCCTGTGACTCTGGGCCTCCCTCCCACAGGCGCCGCGTGCTGGCCATCTCAGATGGGATCGAGCACATCGGGGAGCTCCGCGGGGAGCTGGCCCTGTGTCTCCTGGCGGCCTGGACCGTCTGCTACTTCTGCATCTGGAAGGGGACCAAGTCCACGGGCAAGGTAAGAGGTGGACGGTACACGGCGGCTCGCGGCAGGCAGGCGCATGAGCGTGAATCCATGTGTGACCCCAGGAAGGTCAGCGGAGCACTGGGCTGGGAGTCCACTTAGGAGCCCGGGACCCCGGCCAGCGGCCTCAGGAAGAGGCGAGGAGGCCACCGTGGCAGCTCCGCCAGCCTGCTTGTGTTCTGTTTAGAGGAAAGTGAGGACGAGTTGCAGTGCTGAGGGATGGGGCCCTCTCGGGACGGGGTGCAGTGTGGCCCCTGCCTGGGCGCTCTGCTCCATTCTCCAGAGCTGGGCTCGAGCCACTGTGCCCACGCGCACGGCTGGTCCAGGGCACCAGGCTGAGGCTCAAACTGTGACGGGAAGAGGGACCAGAACTCCGGGCCCTTCATCTATGTTCCAAAGGCTTCGTGTGTGCGAGGGGCTTGGGGATGACCCCCTCGGCCGTGCTCGGGGGCCGGGGCCACTCTCAGGAACTCTTGTCAGCTGGTGTGGACGGTCAGTCAGGCGCCCGAGGGTGTGTCGCGGGGGCCGGGAGCTGGCATCAGGAGGGCACAGCTGCAGGCGGGCACGGCTGCACAGGCGGGCACAGCCGGGACGCAGGGGAAGCTGCTGTGAGGCGGGGCGTGCGGGTGGGGGGGTGTCAGCGCAGAGCCAGGGTCCAGGGCAGACAGCGGGGACCCCGCACCCTGCGCCGGTGACCCTGCCTCCGGCGTCCACTCGTTATTCTCGGGGTGTCTGTGTCCTGGGGCGCCTTCCCTGACTGCCTGCGGCTCCCCTGCCTCTGCTCTGGTTTTGGCGCGGTGGGGGCTGTGGGAACGTGCGCGGGCTGGGCCGCCTTGGGCGCTGCTGCCCACAACCTTGTTTCTTCCCTGGCCGGAGAAGGCCTCAGTCTCCAGGCTGCTGTAGGGCCAGGGCTGGGCCAGACTCCCGGGAGGGGGCGGCCCCAGGCCACATGGGGAGCCTGCAACAGGAGAGACCTTTCAGGGGAGGGTCTGGGTCTCTCCCCGCAGCTCTGTCCTGGGATCTTGGTCTCTCCGTGTCTCTGTCCTGGGATCTCGGTCTCTCCCGCGTCTCTGTCCCGGGATCTCGGTCTCTCCCGAGTCTCTGTCCCTGGATTTCTGTCTCTCCCTGTCTCTGTCCTGGGATCTCGGTCTCTCCCTGTCTCTGCCCCGGGATCTCGGTCTCTCCCTGTCTCTGTCCTGGGATCTCGGTCTCTCCCGCGTCTCTGTCCCAGGATCTCAGTCTCTCCCGCGTCTCTGTCCTGGGATCTCTGTCTCTCCCTTTCTCTGTCCTGGGATCTCTGTCTCTCCCGCGTTTCTGTCCCTGGATCTCTGTCTCTCCCTGTCTCTGTCCCGGGATCTAGGTCTCTCCCGCCTCTCTGTCCTGGGATCTCTGTCTCTCCCTGTCTCTGTCCCGGGATCTCGGTCTCTCCCGCCTCTCTGTCCCTGTATCTCTGTCTCTCTGTGTCTCTGTCCCGGGATCTTGGTCTCTCCCAGTTTCTGTCCTGGAATCTCTGTCTCCCCACGTCTCTCTGCTCTCTGCTCCCTGGATGTGAGTGTCTCCCCTGCTCTCTGTGTAGTGCTCTGGATCTGAGTATCTCCCCGCGCTCTCGCTCTCTGTCCCCCAGGTCCAAGTCTCTCCCCGCGTCTCTCTGCTCTGTCCCTGGATCTCTGGGTCTCCCTGGGGCTCTTTTCTCTCCACCCCCGCAGCCCCCCAGATCTGAGGATCTCCCGGAGCCTTCTGAGCCCCTCGCCTGCCCAGCAGCCTGTGCCAGGGGTGGGGTGGGAGTTTGAGAAGAGCCTGCGCTGTGGGGCACCGTGTGTGGTGATGGGGGCCCAGCCAGGGGCGAGGAACACTCTGTGAGGGGTCAGGGACACTGTGAGGGGCGTGAGGGACACTGTGAGAGACTCTGGGAGGGGGTGACGAACACTGAGGGGGTGAGGAACATTGTGAGGGGAGGGGACACTGAGGGGTGACGGACACTGAGCGTTTGGGGGACAGTCAGGGGTTAGAGGGACCGTCTGGGCTTCCCGTGAGCTCTCTGTGGAGCACCGTGGGGGATCGGATCACTGCATGGGCTGGGGTGATAAGGGCTCGGGGATGGTGTATGGTTTGGGGCTAGGCGGACACTGAGAGGCCTGGCTGAGAGGCCTGGCTGATGTGTGAGGGACGGGGGTATCATGAGGGTTGGGAGACGCCGTGAGGAGTTAGGGGGACACTGAGGTGTTCGGGGTCACCGTGAAAGGTCAGGGGATGTACAGGTTTAGGGCTTTTGGGTCTGTGGTGCGGGGTGCTGCTTGGGTGAGCTGTGGTGGGCCGTGTGTGGGCCCTGGTGTAAGGAGGCCGGGCGCTCTGGGCAGTGCCGTGGGGAGTTTGGTTCTGCTTGGCCTGGAGGGGGCTGTGGGGCCGCCGTGGAATCAGGAGAAGGGGGGCTGGCCTGCAGCTCTCAGGCCACAGCAACGGGGAGGGGACAGTCCCTGCCTTGTAGGGGAGCCAGCGGCAGAGGGGCTGAGGGGGCCGCCGGCAGCTCTGCCCACACGCACCCCGCTCTGTTCCAGCAAGGGGGGGAGATGCCTGCAGCCCCCCGCTTGCTCCTCTCACCCTGTACCCCGCTGGAACCCAGACGGCCCCGAGCAAAGCGAGAGGGGCCTGGGGGGTCGGGGGCTCCCAGGCCCTCGGCAGGAAGTGGGGCCAGGGGTGACCCCTGCCCTGGTGACTGCGGGGCCTGTGCTCTGGGGGCATCTGCGCCCTGCCTGTCACTCATGGCCTGGCGACAAGGGCAGTTCTGTCTCTGGTCTCGTGAAATTAAGTGCAGACAGTGAGCCCAGCAGCACGGGGCGGGCGGCACGTAGCATGGATCAGGCGGCACGGAGCGGAGAGCGGACGGCACGTAGCGGGCAGCGGGCGGCGCAGCCAGTGGGAAGCGGCTCACCGCAGACAGACCGCGGGAGGGCACTTGGCGGGGCCTGGCCCGGCTGTGGCTGCAGTTCCCGCCCCGTGAGTGCCGCTGAGGGACCCGCCACGGACCCGCTCAGCACCTTCTGCGTTCACGGGCCTTCCTGCGCTCCACGCTCAGAGCCAGGCTCATTCTCCGGGTGCACATGCACGCATGCGCGTGTGTGTGTGCGTGTGAGTGCGTGTGTGCCTTTGCACATGTGTACATGCATGTGTGCATGTGTGTGTAAGCATGTGTGAGTGTGTGCACGCACATGTGCATTCATGTCCTCTTAGCAGGGGTCGTATGTTTATTTATTTCTTTATTTTCTTTTTGGGTCACACCTGGCGATGCACAGGGGTGACTCCTGGCTCTGCACTCAGGAGTTACTCCTGGCAGTGCTCAGGGGACCATATGGGATGCTGGGAATCGTACTCGGGTCGGCTGCGTGCAAGGCAAACACTCTACCCGCTATGCTATCGCTCCAGCCCCGAGGGGTTGTATGTTTAGCAGTCAGAGAGCTGGGGTGTGTGTGTGTGTGTGTGTGTGTGCGTGTGCGTGTGTGCACGCGTGTGCATGTGAAACATCCCTTTTGAGTGTGTGTGCACAGGTCTGTGAGGTTTTGTGTGTGTGTGTGTGTGTGTGTGAAGCACTAAGAGGGTGTGTGTTTTGTGTTTGTGTCTCCTTGAGGAGAATCATGTGTGTTTAGCATGTGAAGGTGATGTAAAGTCACTGAGGGGCCCTGGAGCTGCTCCTTCTGCCAGGTGCAGGCATGGAGACAGAGGCCTGGGCAGCTGCCAGGTGCCGGGCTTTCTCGTGGGCTGGTCCTGCTCCTCGACCTTCCAGCCGGACACCTCTAGCCCCTCCCGATGCCCAGAGGGGACAGGGACTGTCCCAGGTCACACACCGAGTGAGGGACAGCTCAGGCACCAGCTCTTCTCAGGGGGGAGGTTTTGGGGTCACCCCTGACGGTGCGAGGGGACAATCAGCCGGTGGTTCAGGGCGTGCCCTGGGGGGAAACACGGGCGCTTTTCGTTCCCTCGAGTCTGAAGGTGTTTCAGGATCTTATAGAAACTGCTCGAAACCAGCCCCGGCGCTCGGGTCCTCCTGATGGTGGAGGTGGCCAGCCAGGCCTGGAGCCCCCGATCGAGGGGCCGGCTGCTCCTTGTCCTCGCCTTCCCAGGACTCTGAGGGGCATCCAGAGAAGTTCTGGGCTCCACCTGGGCCCTGACTTTAACCCCGCTCAAAGAGCACGTTTCCCGCAGGGAAGCCGAGGTCACAGGGCTTGTCTGGGGCATTTGGGTGGGGACCCGGCGAGTTGGCACGGGTTCTGGTGTGGGTGCCGCAGGGTGGGCAGAGTTCCCCAGGGCCCGGCACTGTCACCCACCCCCACTGCCTTCAGGGGCGCTCTTCCTGGGTGGGATCCTCACCGACTTCTGTCCATGCGGCAGTTGGCTTGGATTTGAGTCACCCCGGTTGAGGAACAGGTGTGCGGTGGCAGCCCCAGTCCCGTGGGCATACAAGGAGCAGGGGTGTGGGCTGGGTGCCTGGCGGGTAAGAAGGGAGTCAGTGCGATGCGCGGAGGCCCCTGGAAGCTCTGGGCATCCACATCAAAATTCCAGATAAGACCCCCTTGTCCAGTGCGTACCGGGCCCCAGAAAGGCCACCCTGAAAATGGGGACTTCAGTGGGCATTTCTATGCCCCTGGCAGGCTGGAATCTTATCAATCAGAGGCTCCCTTACTCCAGTGACCACAGTGACCAGTGGTGGCCCTTCCAGAAAAAAGAATCATCGCCACCCGCCCTCCCATTACACCTGTGCCCGGTGGTTCCCGCGCCCACCTCCAGGGGGCGCCGTCCCCACTTCAGGAAATGTGGCAGGTGGTAATAACTGAGCTTGAGTGGGCGGAGGTGGGCCTATCTCAGCAGCTGTTGCGTCTGTTGTCGTTGTGGCAGTTCATAGATGCGTCTCAGAGCAGTTGAGGCAAGTCTGGAAGAGCTGCCACAGAACCCCAGAGCCCCGGCACCCCACACCCCAGCACAGCCCTCCCCTCCCGGGCAGG